TCATATGGGAGTCACAATATATGGCAAACTGAGTTTTGCAGTCATGTAGCAAGCTGTACCAGTTAGTTAATACAAATAGGAGTCTATGGTCAAAAGTACATAAATGTGAAATAAAAATTTCAAATATTCAACTCTTACTCTCCAGTTTACCTTTTTGGCATCCCCTTCTTCCAAACTGAATGTTTCTAGTTCTTTCATGTAGCAGTCAATGGCATCTTGAGGACATTTGAGGTCAAAGTATGTTATTGCAAGGGACACAAAAATAGGTGACAGCTCTGTGCCAGACCTCCCTGCACATTTGGCCAAATCAAGCTGCAGAGTTGAGACATTTTAATAGTCAATTAGCCTTGAAACCAGTAAGTACTATCATTGAATCTCCTAAAATTACCACTCTGCTATATTTTCAACCCCTCATTCTCAAAATAAGCCTCGTAGTTTTTAATGATCATTTTTTTTTGCTTACTTCATTAAAACAGGGGCTGCTACAACTATGATTAACAAGTAATAAAAAAATTTCTTTGTCGATGTACATGTTTGCACTGAAACAATTGAACAATACAAGTGCTCAGATTATTAATTGTGACTTTCTTTCAGTTCCATTAAATTGCATAAATTTTGTCAATTTTACACACAACTGAAGTTCACTACAAGACAGTCAGATCAGTTACAGAGTTAAATGATTAACCACTCATATCTTATAGAATTATAGAATTTTTTTTCTTGTATTGGTGTTAAAAGCAAGTCCAGTGGTTACATCAAGATAATTCCACTTGAGTCTAAAAGCATTTATTATTAAGAATTTATTTGCATGGTGAACATACAATACAATGCAGCTGTTCTATAAATTGAATGGAAAAGTTACCTCCCTCTTGTAGAAACCTAAAGCTTTGCGGAAAGACTTTGCCTGACAGTACAGATCACCAAGGGTGTCCAATATTTTAATTTGTTCATCCAGAGAAAATTCTGAGAGTTTAGCCCATTTTCTCTCAAATCTAATTCCCTTTATGGCTACAAAGACAAAACAAGTGAAAGGATAAGAATGCTGTGGTTTAGTAAATGACATATGAAAAAAAATGGCCTCAGATTTGGCTTTACCTGTTGCTAAACTTGATTTCAATTCCTCTAGATCATCAGATCTCTTGGTCTTATTAATAATGTATGCTTTCTTTAAATTACTACGAGCAGCTGAAAACTCCCCCAGCTTGAGGAAAACCTAACAAATAAGAAAGTACACATCAACAATAAATCTACCACTGTAAATGGTTTGAATACGTGGGTAATAATTGATCATGCATTCTAATTATCTGGATAAGGGGGATCATGTAGGTGACAGTGATTGACATTTTGACAACCTCAGCAGCAGTTGTTGATAGAATCACACCAGGAGTTCTTTGCTTAGGATAAGCTTAAGTTTGGTTGGTAAAAACTGCTTGGCCAGTTTTAGTCTGTCAGTGAAGATATGTAGTTCAGTTTACTTCCCTACACTAATGCAATGAAGAAGTTATTTGTGGGGCATCATAGTGCTGTTGTTTCTGAGGGGTCTTTTCCAGGTCTGCTTTCAGCTTGGCAATTAGAAGTTTAAATCAATGTGACTGAGGCAGGTTCTGATGTTGTTATTTGAACAACAAGACAGACATATAGGCACAAATAAATTTATTTATACAGGAAAGTGCAAGCAAATCCTCAGTCAAATAGGTCACCAACTTGCAGTTACAATGAAGTTACTTTTTTGTGACTGAGAGGTCCTGAACTTGTAAGTGCAGGTCTTGACACTTTGAACTACATAATTAAACTAACTAACTGTACTTCTTTTATAAGGAATCAAACAATAGCAGGAAATTCTTATGATTTTGAAGCTAGGTGTGATAGTGTGACATACAGGAAATTTATGATGCACATCCTGTGTGTGGGATGATTTGATTATCAATAGGAAATAGTTTCTGCTGATGTAACTCTAAAACTATGACAAAAATGTCATGTATTTTGTGAGCCTGGTCACATTAAGTTACAGTTCAACTTAATTTGCAGAAATGTGGGGTTCAGACTTGTTGTGACTGACAGTTGTATATCACGAATGACAAAGTTAAGTCACAGGTTTATTTCTTTCTGTATTATTTAATAGATCATCTAATACCCCATTCACCCCAACACTTAAACATGAAGTGGTAAATAAAAGAGGTTAACTCCTAAAGTACCTTTCCCAACAAAGCCAAAGCATCTGCCTCATCAAACTTGTTGTTTCCATGTCTGGCCACCAGTAAGGCCTGTTCAAAGCACCTCAAGGCATGTGCATCTTGATCAGATTTCATTTGAATACCACCAATTGCTAGCAGACAGCGGTACTCAGTGTCCCTCAAACCTTGATCCCTGTAAATGTGAGAACACAAAGCCTCAGTATGGTAGAGTGTCAAAAAATACCCAACACATCAACTTACAGTATTTATTGAAGCTTGCTGAACTCAGTTCCACACATACATTTAATTCAGGTATAAAAAGGCTTACCAGTTGATCATCATCAAGAATATGATAGAGGTCAATAAACCACCTTAGTGAATTTTGAAAGCTGATGTTTCAAGCATTAATACATTGTAAATGGAATAAGAGATATGGTGAGTTTTTAGTGGAGAAGAAATAGAGAAAGATGTTTTTCATCTTGTTGCAAGTGTGGAACAAACAATATATAGGCATGTGTAGCATGCAAGAGTTATTGTTAGCAAGGGTGGAGGTTTGTGGGTTATGTACATTTTACAGGGAAAAATTTACAACTTAAACACGAACTATTTCTTGTTCCCAAGATGAAATCTTAATTTGAAAGATAAACTTTTGTTCGCAAGTTTGTAATGTTTCTATGCACTTGATATAACAGCCACCATTCTACTTCTTTAACAAACTACCTGGTATTTTCATTCATTGATTTTGTATCTCTAATATCTTAAAACAGATGATCATGTTACACTTGTATATATCATTAGCCTACTGGAATGGAAGCTCAAGGCTGAGTTGAGGTATTTGCTAACCTAGGGGGTTGCCATTCTATTAAGGGGGGAGGGGTTTGGCATTCTATCTGGGGGTGGGGGAATGGGTACTTGATAAATGCAGCTGGAAGCCTCTACCAACCACCTAAAATTTGCAAAGTGGCATGAGTTAAGCTCATGGTATTGCTTAGTGCTATGCTTATGCATTGTAATGTAATTATAGTCTACAACATTAAGATCACTCATCAATTATACATTGCACAGAGAAAAATTACCTTGCAATAATCAAACCCTTCTCTATAAAATTCTTGGCTCTACTCAGATCCTTCTGGTTTTCATAAATTATACCAAGATTGAGATACAATCTTGACTTCATCTCTAACAATTCCTTTTGGGAAACACTTCTGTGTAGTTTGTCACAGACATCTAGACTTTTCAGGAATGCAGTCTGTGCCTCAAGAAGAAATTCTTCCACCTCATCACTATTGATTGCATCATCTGAGTGGACAAGCCATGTGCGCCCAATGGTGGCCAAAGCCCGCTGTTCTTCAACAAGATTTTTTGCTGACTGAGCAAGCTTTTGTGTGTTTAAAGTAAATAGAGCAGATTTTAGTAGTGGAAGTCTTGTGCATGAAGCAAGTTTACCTAAAAAATAATGGGACTAGCCATTGACCCACAAAGATTTGGTTGTCAAGTGATGGCTCTATATCTGTATTTTGCATCCCCAAAAAGCTACATAGTGGGAAAATTGAATGCATAGGAGGAAAAGAGCAATACCAGGCCTCATCTGTTTAGGTCACTCTTGTTATAGTCAACCAGGATGATGATGTTCTTTAATGAATTGATGGAAGTGCATGGAAGAACCCTCATTTCCAATAAAAACTAATTGACTAAGGCTCCATTTTAAGTTAGCTTTATCAGCATATTAATGATGTCTGGGATGAAATAAATACAATTCAATTTAGAGATTCAGAGGGAATATTAAAGAGAGGGCATAACATTGTTGGCAACAATCTGCTACTGAGACTTACCTCAAGATGCAAGTTTTGGTGAAACAGAGCCTCCTTATATTTTTTCAGTGCACATAAACACTCTCCCACTTTTCTGTGAGCAATAGCAGCTCCAATAGTGTCTTGACTTGCTTCAGACAACTGCACTTCCCTTGTGTGTTCCTTAACAGCCTTTTCATAGAATCCTAAGTAAGTTGAATGATACACTTCACTTTACATCACATGATATGCACCATGCTAAGTTAAGTTTAAATTATCTTTTAATCAGTTTTAATCTGAATGTAGTATGGGGTTGTGCGGAGATCTTTACAAAAACAAAGCGGTAGTCCCAAAGTCGCCATCGTTTCCTTTATCCAAGAACTGTGTGCATAATGAGGTATGTGGCTCTCCGGGCATTTTACCCTGAGTTATGAGTTTATTATTGATTATTAATGACATTTACCTCGTTTTATTGGTCGAATTCGTTCTGTTAACAAGATCTCACAATACGTAATCAAGTGTTCTCACCATAATGGAAAAGCATTTCCCCAACAGCATTGCAGAGTTTAGCCTCTTCGGCTAGATCACCTTTTTCCTGCGCTTTGAGTTTTTTCTTCTTGAGCTCTAAATAAAAAACGTGCAAAAAAGAATCACGAACACGTTAAGACCTTCAATGTTTAATCTCGTCGATCTGTCTCCATGTGAACTTTAGATCTATCGATAGCTAAGACGCTATATATCTTTGAGTTGTTTGACAAAAAAAAGCAAGGCAAAAATAAGAACATACGTTTAAGCTCCCTTTCGAAGTTTGCTTCCATCTCCAGTGATCGGTAGTGTTCATCTATTTTCCATATTATTGAGAATACAAAAAGTTATTTTTTCAGAAAACTTCCATCGACGTCTTCAAAAATGGCGGGTTTTGCAAGACTGGTACTCAGTCTACAGCTGAATAGCCTCGTACAAGCCTCGCTTTGATTTGGGAGCGACCAAACCTCCCACGATTCTCTTCGCTCGTCATCACGATGTTTATTGTTGACGAGGTCAGGGGACTTTGACGATGTATTCGGTGTCTTTACTTTTGTGTTTATTTTTAATGTCGCAACAGGAATCGATTAGATTTTAGCTCGGGAGGGAAGTACAGCTCAGGATTGCTGACTCAGTTATATAATTGTTTTATTCCGAGCGCGTATAATTGTCAGCAACGGGTATTTGTTTTGCCCTCTTCGAATTTTACTTGCGGACTTCTCAAAATGGCGTCCGTTTTTCGAAAACTGGTTAGACGTGAATCCCGCAACGGAGAAGGTAGCGATAAGAGTGGGTGTAAAACAAAGGGAAACTCGGACCTCAAGAGCGAAAGAAAGGATGGGGAATTTAGCAATCAAACTCAAGAAAGCAGTACAGAAACAAGACACCTAAATTCTTTGCCGGCGAAAACCGCAGGGAGTAATGGTGTGAAAACAAGCGATGTGAATGAAATGTCTTCCTCTCATGCTCAAAGGGTTCGAGCAAAGCGACTCATGAAAGAATTTCACGATGTAACTGTGCGTTGTGACAACAAATTATTTTCAGCAGAACTTGTGGAGGATAATCTTTACGAATGGAACGTGAAATTATACAAAATCGACACAGATAGTTTGTTATATAGGGATATGGTTGAAACTGGAACCAAGTTCATTCTATTGAATATTACATTTCCCGATAATTTTCCCTTTGCGCCTCCGTTTATGCGAGTTTCTGCGCCGCGAATCGAAGGAGGCTTCGTTTTAGACGGTGGAGCGATTTGTATGGAGCTATTGACTCCCAAAGGATGGAGCAGTGCTTATACTGTTGAGGCTATAGTGTTACAGTTCTCTGCTGCCGTTGTGAAAGGTCAAGGACGAATCGACCGATCAACCAAAAAGGCATTCTCTAAGAAAGAGGCAGAATCTGCTTATAAACGATTAGTGAAGACGCATGAGAAATATGGCTGGGTAACACCACCGAAATCAGAAGGTTAGAGCTGTAAGAAATGTTGTGTTCAATCCGGTGGAGGTATTTCCAGTGGATCCTACTGAATCAAGACCGGCTTATTTTCAATTCGCAAAATTTCTAAATCGATATTGTGGTTCGCTGGTCAGCAACAAACATTCTGCATCAGGCTGATTCTAAATGAAGTTTGCACTCATTGAATCACTCAGAATTAAGAGATTGTCAATTGGATAATTTTTTTTCGGAGATTCAGAAATTCTTTTATTTTTGAATAACACATCACTTAGTGGTAAATGCTGAAAAACAGAGTAAAATCATGTTTCATTTACTTATTTCAAACTTACTTGTGCCTCCTGCCACATCACATTTTCTAGTCAGGTCTTAAGTAGTTTTTTGGACAAGTTCTATTCAAGAGAAAGTGGATCAATTGGAAATTCAATCATAGAAAAGGTATTGATGGAAAGTTCTGTTAACTATAGGCCTCTTTTTCTCCTTATAGCACAACCTTTTTAATGTGTACTCAATAAAATAATGTATAAAGTTATACCCAAGTAAAAATTAAAAAAATGAATAGGCAAAATTTTCCTATTGAAAAGCAACCAGCAGATAATTTGTAAATATGCCACTGCATTTCAGTCACAATTCCTTTTTTTTTGTTAGTTGTTGTGCTATAGAAGCAGTAATTTGATTCACACAGCACTCTGTTATGTTCCTTTTCGTATTAGGAAAATGTGTTGTGTTTTGTTAAATCCCTTAAAAATTAAACTGATGTCAAATTAGACAAAATATCAACTACAAAGCTATAAAAAATAATAAATGCATTTGGCTTTCATTGTGGTATGGAGAAGTTAATGCAAACATTACATTGCCACCTGCACCAAAGAATACAATGGCTTTATGAACTGCTTTTTTTTTTACATCATCAAGTAAAATAGAAATCACTGCAGAAACTCTGTAAAGTAACAAAATCAATTTTCAGAAGCATAAACCACATGACACTGCATTAAGTGTTGTAAGTTATATTGGAAGGGTATTTTTTATAGTCAGATGTGTCAACAGATGTAATTACCATGTTTCATTCTGATAAGCCAGTGCAAGAACAGGGGAACCATTAGCAGTGTTAATTGTTTGGTATGAATGCTCTGGAAAGTCTTTGTAATTCAAATGTATTCCCATTGGAAAAGCACTTACTAGCAATTCCATTCAACTTTTTTTTTTCTTTTTACATAGGTATGGTTACTCTTAATGAGTGGTGTGAAAAAATGTCTTCTGGGAATGGAGTAAACACATTTTATTAACAATTAAATATTAAACAAAATTCAAAATCCTATTTAAGGAAATAATTGCTTTTGCAAATTTAGAAATCTATCCTCAAATTTTCAAGTTTTTCATTTGAAATTCTTGTTCACCTCAACCATTCTTGCCTACACTCATTCTTTTAAAATTTTTCTTGCCTTACTGGAGATTTCCTTCTTGTTAAACTACTATTTTAAGGGTTTTCATTTATTGAAGGAAATTTTCTGTAGCTGTGTAGCATGAAAATTTTGCAGGTTGTCCTAGATTTGCAAAAAATTTGTTCTCATAAATTGAAATACTATGAAATGTTTGTGTTGCCAGTCCAATGTAGAACTTTGCATGTAAACCAGGTAGCGCTTGGTATTCAAAATTGGACTTAGGAAACTATCTGTCTATGAATCCACTATGAACATTTAGTTCCCCACAAAATAACTAGATAATTTTGAAAAAAAGAACTTATAATAATTCTTTCTTTGGAATTTCCTCCCTGAATTTAAAACCGAAAAATCCATTCCCAGCTGAATTTCCAGTCTTCTTGAACCATAAAAATTTGTGGCTGTAAAGGACCTGAAAAATTACCACTGCAAAATTAACTTAAGCTCAATTTTATGCATCGTGGTTCACTTAATAGACCAATAAACTCAAAATTTTTATACTTCAGCAAGACAGTTCCTTTAAGATTGCTTCTAGAAGTAATGAGATATTGACCATTCATTCTTGAATGTAAAAAGAAACTCCAAACGAAAATGTCTAGTGAGTAATTTGCATTGTAATTTATTTCCATTATTTTTTACGTTAAGCTACAATTATTACGATTGTCGCAAGTTTCCGTTCATTATTCCAGTCAGACTCTTGGGAACCAAATGAAGGAATTGATTTTAAATCACTGTTAATCTCTATATATTGTGGTTAATATTTCCGCTAATCACTACACAAATTATGACGATCCAAGAGTAACCTTTGTTCTATCTCGTCAGTTAACACTCTTGCCTTGTAGTACTTCTTTCTAATGTCGTACGCAACACAAGTATGGAAATTGACCCTTACAAAATTTTCTGGCAGCTGCGTGAACTAATGTCGTATTAGTAATGAGAGATTAGACAACTTCAAAATGAGCCAACCCTTAGCTAGTAGTGGTCTGCCTCAATTAAAAAAAAAAACATTCTAAACCTTATTGAACCTTTTGGATATTGATTATGCGTATACTAGCCATTGCAAGGCTCTTAGTGAGTAATTACAAGGGGAAAGTGGAAACGCGAAAAAAGGCAGGATTAAAAGGATAGAAATGTCGCGATCTACATCACACGTGACTACATCGTGAGACAAACGAAAAACTTCGCCTTTAAGGATTAATTAGGCAGCTGATTCTCTCGTCTCCACCGACTGAATTTCGTTTTCTACCTCAATTATTTAAAAGGTAAGTAAACTATGATGAAATTTGAATAATATTGTGAAGTTTCACATGTAACATTGATGGAATTGCAGAGTTCCAGGACGCCTAGCTTTTTAGTGGCCTCTCTCTTTCCATACTTCCTGATGCCTCGAATGTGAGATTTGTATAGCTTACTTGGGCGTAGTCTTCTTTTGCAGGGTTTGTGTTGAGACAGTCATTAACTCGTGGTGTATTCTTCCCTTCCTGAGTACTAGAAACGTCAGTGAATGAATTGCATGTATCTTCATCACGACTCAGTCTATTAATCCTTTGGGGAAATTGGTGAAAACGTTCCGGATCGGTGCCCCTTCTTTGGAAAAAGGAAACCAACACGCTGCTTTGTAAGATCTTCGGTGGAAGTTTGATCAAGGTTTTAACGTAACTTTCTATGTCCGATTTTCGTTCTTCTGCAAGAGCTAAGTCACTTTTCCTGAAGATTTTTCTCCCTAAAAGAAAAGTAATAATATCTATTTTATTAAAATGCTCCAACAAATCCAATTCACCGGTAGCTCCCTTCGCGACAAAGTTTCAATATGTCACGCATTGTCCATAAAGTCACTTCCAATTAAACATTTATTATTGTACCTTAGAGTAGTTCCACACGCGTGAGCACTGGTTGCATTAAAGCGTGAAAGGGAATAATTAACCTAAAAAAGCCAATTTCCCTTGAAATGGCTAATTTTTGAGAGTTTCATACCCCCAGTTTGTGTCAAGTGAAAACATCTCCGTGTTGTCTCGGAGCCTGCATTGGTAGCCTTAAGTTAGTCATCAAGTGAGTGGCTCCCTAAGGGTCAACAGGTATTCCGGCCCAAAGTTAGCTGTTTAGTCATCATCTTAGTGTTATATAGTCGGAAATAATGCGATATGTGCTATCAAAATGTGTGGCTTCATGTGATGCCCATATATGTAGACCAACCAAACAACTCCGTGCTCTAAACACCGATTTTAATTTTGAGCACCCTCCCGATGCCACGAAAACGAGCAGTGAAACCCCTTTTTGCTGCTCAGCTGCCTTTATGTTTCAGCCGCACCTGGGAGGTAGGGAATAATCCTTGCAAATCCTCTAACAGAGCCAGCTTCCTCAGGAAAAGAGTCCAATAACCTGCATTGAAACTCAAAGAAATCATTGTAGCTCCGCCAGATGTCACAACTCGAGCCGTCGGACCAATCCACGCAAAAAACAAACGCGTATTGTTTCTTTTTACTTCCAACCAAGCGTTCTTTGATTGAATCGAGTTCTGCCCCAGTGACATATATCATTGCTATACCTATCGTTTTCGTCGTTCAAAAAGTCTGTAATAGCAGGATGTTATTTCTTCTCTCAGCCAACTGATCTTTGAAAATATGGTTTGGTTTTTTTCAGTCACACAATTGTTGTAACGCAAGTTGCTCGCGGGTTTAACAGCTTCCGGTTAAAACCTTAGGAAGGAAGTCACCGTTTTGTGTCATATTTTTTTTGAGAACCTTATCTGTGATTAGCAGACAGTGTCCCTTTCCTAGGAAATGAGAAATGTTATAGGCAGACTCCGGTGAGATTTACGGACATTCTTTTTGAAGAGTTTTTTTTCCAGAAATATTAATTATAGAGCGTTTCGTCGATAAACACCAAATTTATCCTCTAAATGGCTTTCTAAAATATGGAATAAAAACTTTAAGAGTTAAGTGAAAGTAAAAACTCTGAGATTCAAAGATAGATTTTACTTCGTATATTCATTACCTCTGAAATCATTTGTGTAATTTCAATTCTTTTTGTTTCCTTTAACCCTTTTCGTTCAAGAAAGACCTAAATAAGAAAGAAGGTAAGCTTTACTACTCATTGTGAGGGTTAAACATCATAAAATCTGACATGCACAGAAATATCTCGAATATTTAACCGGAGATTGTTAGGAACCCAACAGGAAGCAACAAAAAAACCGGAAGTAGCTGTGAGACGTAATTGCGAATTGCCGTCATCCTCTCTCCTTATATGGGAAGCGGAATACATTATGGTGGCTCGCCTCTAAACTAAATACAAGATTTGCATAAACTTTCCAGACAACACACTTCTTTTGAAAGGTCGCAGAAATTCTCGGACGGATTTAGCAAACACGGAGGAGATCAATGGCTAAAATGTTACTGTAATAAAACGCTGTGATTTTCCGCGAGGATTTAATTTCGGTGTTGTCACACGCGCGTTGTAATGGCGGATCATTTAGAACTTGTGGGTGAAATTCCGAAGGTCGAGAAACTTTCCGTGCAAGATCGCCTAGAGCTCGCAAAGAAACGACGATCCCAACAACTGAGACGATGGGAAAGAGAGGAAGATGAAGAATTTGGTCCGCCACCGCCTAAAAAGAGACCTCAACGAGCAAAACCAGTGAAATTCGAACCTAGAATTATTCTGTTGGAAGCCGCTTCACGAGGTGATTGCGATGAAGGTTGGTACAGTCTAGCTTTTGCACCGTGAAGTTTTGTTTGTCGATGGTAGTTATGTCTTCAGACTCTCCATATATATTGGGATTTTTAGATTATTGATGTTTCTCATCCAGTGAAAAAGATGCTTGATTATGGAGTTGACCCAAACTTGGCAAATGACGACGGACTTACTGCTTTACATCAAGTAAGTGTTTATAAGGTTCCATGCACGATCTATCGTTATAAATATGCAGCTCTAATACCGAGAAAATCTTGTTTAGAACCTTTGGAACTTGATTGGGTGCAACATTTGACAACTAATCTCCAAACTGGGTCTGTGTTTATTTTTGTTCACTATCAGAAAATTGGTGTTTGTTTTACAATTGAGCTAAATCATGTTGGAACATAACATTCAGTTGAAATTAATTTTCCCTGTCGATATTGATAACTTAGAGTTTTTCTGTTTTCTTTTGTATATTATCTTGACTTGAAATCTAGAGTACAATTTTTTTTTCTGAAATGTACAAGTGAATTAATGAATTTACCTGGACGTTTTTGGTAAATATGACGCACGAGCGAGATGGCATGAAATTGATTCACCTAAGCGAAGCAAAAAGCAATTTTATTCCTCTTAAAACATGATAAAATCATTCTTAGTCGGGGTTTCCGGTCGGTGGCTCGTGGGATTAACGTAATTTTAATTTCTAATTACATTGCGACGACTTTTAAAAGTATTATTCAGATTAAATTTGGATATTTGGCTGATTGACGTAAAAAGTAACCGCGACAAATTACTGAGTCATGGCTTTTTCGTTAATTTTTTCTCTCAGCTTACAATATTATTGAATTCTAGAGTCAAACCACTATTTTGTTGGAAATATCAAACCATTTTTGCTTAGTGGTGCTTTTTTCCGTTACAAAAAACGTTTCGCATAGATTTCTAATCATGAAGCTAGTTCATGTGTTCATTCGCAGCTGGAATTTCATCGGTTAATTTGTTTGCTTAGTAGGCCGGTCTGGAGATGTTTACATAAGGAAATGTAATTTTACAAAGTTCTTCTTTCAGTGTCGACTAGATGAGAACTCTTGATATTTTTTTGCAATAAGAAACCCTACGAAATATGACCTTTAATTCAGGGTTTCTTGAATTGGCTTTTTTTATTTCAAATTTTCTTGCATTGCTGAAAAAAATTCGCCTTAATTATAATTGGTTCAAACGGCTTGGTGATATCTCAACAATTTTACGTTTGTACTTAGACAGAGGTGATAATAACCCATCAAAAGCACGAAGTAAATGAAATATGTGCACCTTTAGGTTTTTTGTATTGTTTTGTGTTCTTAAGTTGGGTGTAGTGCTCAAGAATCAAAGGAAGGTCTAAAATTGAGGTCAAACCAGAGATCAGAAAGTGACAGTTTATGTTTGTTTTGTCAAAATACTTACTCAACCCTCCAGCTCTTTGGAAAATAGAAACGATTTTAACAAAATTCAATTGATGTTTCTTGTTTTGATTTACAAGTACTTGATTGATGGCCCATTTATTCAATATAGGTAAAAAAATGGGACTTTTCTAAGTAGTTTGATTTAAAAAACAAAAAGTAGTTGGAAGTCTCAGTGAAATTAATCACTGTCTGTATTGTGATTGATTTTTTTTTTGTAATTTTGCAAGGCGTGTATTGATGAATGTGATGAGATAGCAGAACTTCTTGTGGGTTATGGTGCCAATATTGATGCAGAGGACCGTGAATTGTGGACACCTTTGCATGCTTCAGCTGCATGTGAAAACTATTCAATGGTCCAGTATTTAGTAGAAAATGGTGCTGATGTTGTTGCTATCAATGCTGATGGAAACTTGCCAGTTGATTTGGTTGAAGAAGATGATGACCTGAAGAATTTCTTACATGAAGAGATGAACAAATATGGTGAGCCACTTTTTGTAAATAACTAAACAAAAACATGAACTGCCCTTTTAGTCATATAATATTTGATTGACAAACTACTCATAGATTCCATAAAAAGATTTCTTTAGATGACAAACCTTAAAATAGGAAAATTTTTGTGCACAAAGTAGGTGGTAAAAATGTTCTGACAGCTGGCAATATCCCACTGCCTACTGATGACAATCCTGAACTTTTCAAAGACTGGGCCTGAACATAGTTAAGTTTTGATTGACACCGCACATGAGTGCAGCAATGCATGTCACTTTTGAGGGTGTGTTCTTTTTCTTAGAAAATATGTAAGAAAATAAAAAACAGGTTTGTTTATAGAAAGAAAGCCTGTAATTGTGACATAGTCCACTAAACTTCTATTGCCATGGAGTCATTCCCAAAAATTTAAGAAATTTTGAGTTAATATTTACAGGACTTTACCACAAGTTCAATAGTGTGGCTCACTTTATCTTGATTTCAGGTTTCAATGAAGATAAGATCAATGAACTTGCTATTTTAAGAGAGACACGGATGCTTGAAGATATTAAAGACGCAGTTGAAAAGAAAAGAGACTTGGAAATCAAGGATATGCAAGGTGCAACAGCGGTAAGTTTTTTACATTGAATTCTCACTGAAATAACATGTGTTTCCTGTTTAGATCAAACTTTAGTTACACAAGTAGGTAATGTCTTACTCTGTTAAAAAAAATTTTCCATTTTAAATTAGTTACAAGAATTTAGTGTTTGATCAAGAGAACAACATCCACTTAACAAGCTTGAGTATTCTCATTACCTGTTTGCTGGATAATGTATGGATGTTATCGGGAGAAGTAAAAGGTTAATCACTTCTGAGAGTTTAAGAGAACAGCCCTTTTCAGAACTAGCCCCACCTGGACAATTTAACAGAACAATTGACTGTGAATCTGTTTAGCTCAAATCATTTACTTTGGCATGACCATTCTTACTCATAGTGATCATGTTGTAATCTATGTTATAATAATTTAGTGTTCTTTCAGTTACATATTGCAGCAGCTAATGCCTATGAGGAAGTGTTAGAATTCTTACTTGAGAATGATGCAGATGTAGATGTTGTGGACAAGGATGGGTGGAAACCTATTCATGCTGCAGCCTGCTGGGGAAATGTAAATATTTTGATTTCTTCTTGTTAGACACATTAATTGAAAGCTTTTTTTTTTTCTCATAAGTTAGCAACTGACTCATGTTTGAGCCCAGGCTCATTGAGATTTGAAGCACATGAGAAGTTGGAGAGCACCAAAGATGCATAAAAGTGTGACTGAGACCAATTCTTTCTTCTAGTGAATTCTCCCCAAAATTTCCAAGGTGCTTCATACATTGTGTCGTGATAAGAACACAATGAAAATTTGTGGGCAGATTGATGACCATTTACAGGGTTGTTACTAAATGATGGTTAGTGGCAAATTTTCTGAAGGAAAAAGTGGTGATTGCAGGCTGGTTTTTTGACAGGTTAGCACCTGGTAAATTACAACAGGTACTTTGGAGATTACACACTTACAATCATTCTATATGGAATGCTATCTTTGAGTTTTCTCACTTGAAACTTCAGTTGGCAGCCTAATTTCTGAGCTACAACCCTGTAGTTGTTAATGCACAACAGTTGATATTGAATTCCTGTGTTTATGTTACTTCTATAGGAAAAAGCAATTGAACTACTTGTAGAGCATGGATCTGATCTTGAAAGCAGAACACCTTATGGTGAAGCTCCATTAGGTTAGCAACATACTGGTTGTAATTTTGCTATTTTCATTCTTTATTTGTGTTCATGGTCTAATTTGCAATCTGCTCTCCATAGATTTATGTGACGATGCTGACGTGCGGCAGTTCATCATTGATCTCAAGGGAAAAATGAAGACGAACAAGTTTAAAGTGAAGAATAACAGGAGAAAAAGGAATAACTCAAGATCGTAAGTCATAGTACAGGGA